GTTCAAAGATTGTCTACAAAAACGTCTCTAAACCAGTCAGGAAGAGACTTCTATGAACAACTCTTTGCTCTAGTGCAGGAGGGGACAATTGTAGAGTACCAGAAGAAGTTCGAGTACTTCTCGAGCCAATTGGGAAGGTTATCAGAGACTATGCTAGAGGGGAACTTTGTGAAAGGGCTCAAGCTTGATATTTGAGCAGCTGTTCTAGTAATGAGATCATGTAGCTTAGGGGAGGCTATGGAGTTAGCCCAATTGGTGGAGGATAAGAACCTCTTGGAGAGGAGTAGTCGTAGCAGCAGTTCAGGAGTCTCCTACTGCACGACCACTACATTACTGGCACCAAAGGTGCAGACTATGCCTATTCAGAAGGAAGCCTCGAGAGATAATGGTCTGGGAGTACGACCAGTGGGGAACTTCAAGAGGTTGATTGAGTCAGAAATTCAGGAGAAGCCAAAGGTTTATGCTTTAGGTGTGATGAGAAGTTCGCTCCAAACCATCGTTTTAAGGACCGTTCGTTTCAGATCCTAATAATCTGCTATGAGGAGGAAGATGCTGCAGAGGAGGAAGATGTTCACATGCACTTAGATATTATAGAGGTATCCCTTAACTCATTGGTCGGGTTCACACTGAATCACCTCATGAAGGTTAAAGGAAAGATCGGGCATCAGGAGGTGGTAGTATTGGCGGATAGTGGAGCTACCCACAACTTCATTTCCATGAGGATGGTGGATCAGTTGGGACTGAAATTAGTGGACATGGTGCAGTTTGGGGTATGTTGGGAACATGAAATGTACATATGAGTAGAAGAATTTGCAAAGGGGTAATCCTAATCCTTATAGAGGTTCAAGTTTTGGAAGACTTTCTACCATTGGATTTGAGGAGAACATATGTGATACTGGGAATGAAGTGATTGCAAAAGTTGGGGAAGACCAAAATTGATTGGAAGGCTCTAAGAGTTCAAAGTTGAGGTAGGAGAGTGGTTATTAAAGGGGATTCTAGCTTGCCTGAAATTATATTTTCACTCAAAACCATGGTAAGGGCAATCCAGGGTGAAGGAGTGAGATTTTTGATGAAGTTGCATAGTTTGGAAGGAGAAAAGGAAGAGGAGAAGATAGAAGCACCAAATATGGTTCAGCTACTCCAACAGTATTAAGAGGTGTTACAGCTAGTTCAGGGGTTGCCTCTTCCACAAGAACACAAGCATGATATCATCTTGAAAGGAGTCTTACCTATCAGTTTTCGTCCGAATCATTATCCCCAATTCCAAAAGGATGAGATCAAGAGATTGATCACAGAGATGGTGGAGGTAGGGATCATTCGACCCAATGTCAGTCCATTTTCCAGTCTAGTATTATTCGTGAAAAAGAAAGATACAGTTGGAGGTTTTGTATAGACTATCGAGCGTTGAACAAGGAGACTATGCCAGACAAATTTCTTATTCCAGTGATTGATGAGTTGTTGGATGAGCTATTTGGAGTGGTGCTTTTCTTAAGGATTAGTTTGAAGTTTAGAAACCATAAGATTTGGATGAGGCCCAAGGATGTTTCTAAGATGATATTTAGGACTCATGAGGGACACTATGTGTTTTTAGTGGTTTCTTTAGGCCTCACTAATGCTCGAGCTACTTTCTAGTCTCCGATGAATAGGATATTCCAGCCATATCTGTGGAAGTTTCTGTCAATCATCTTTGATGATATTTTGATTTACAACAGGATTGAGGAGCACTTAGAACACTTTGGGATTGGTGTTATCCACTATGTGGGACCACCACTTATTTGCCAATTTGAAGAAGTGCTCATTCGCCCAGCCTAGAGTGAAGTATTTGAGGAATATGGTATCACAAGGAGTAGCAGCTGACCAAAGCAAAATCGAGGCCATGGTGAGGTGGCCAATACCCAATACTCAAGAGTTTGAGGGAGTTGAGATGGTTTTTGGGGCTTGCAGGCTGCTACAGAAAGTTCGTGAAGGGATACAGTTTAATAGCCTGACCTTTGACTGAACAACTAAAGATGGATAATTTCAATTGGGGCAAAATAGCTACCAAGGCCTTTAAGGAGTTGAAGAAAGTGATGACAAGCATGCTAGTGTTAGCCCTGCTCGACTTCAACTAGCCTTTTGTGGTGGAGACGGATGCCTTGGGGTATGGGCTAGGAGCTATAATTATGCAGGACCACTGACCAATGGCTTATTTCAATCAGGTGTTGACTGCCAGGGCGAGATTAAAGTTAGTCTACGAGAGGGAGCTGATGATGATTATGCTGGCCATCTAGGAATGGTGAGCCTACCTGTTGGGGCGATACTTTATTGCCATGACTGATCAAATAAGCATAAAATTTCTTATGGAGCAAATGAATGAACATCAAAGGTGGCTTTTGAAATTGCTAGGTTATGATTTCGAGATCCAATATCAACCAAGGATAAAGAACAAAACTGCATATGAGTTATCTAGGTGTATGAGGAGCCCCACATGATGATACTATCTGTTCCCTTAGTTGTTGACCGGGAGACATTGAGAAAGGAAAGTCAATAAGATGAAGGATTGGAGAAAATCAGGAGAGGTTTATTGGGGAACAAGGATAGTCATCTAGGCTATACCTTAGTCAATCAGAGATTGTTATACCAGGGGTGAATAGTGATACCAATGACTCGCCATATGTACCCCACTTACTATGGGGGTTTTATGGTAGTGCCATAGGAGGACACTTGGGGGTACAAAGACCTATCGTAGGCTAGCAATAAATTGTATTGGGTTGGAATGCAAAAAGATGTGGAGGAGATAGTGGCTAGCTGCGATATTTGTCAGAGGCACAAACATATAGCAATGGCTCCAGGAGGACTTTTGCAATCTCTAGCTCTACCCTAGGCGTGGGAAGATATAACAATGGATTTCATTGAAGGTTTGCCGAAATCGGTGGGTTTTTTTTGGTGATTTTGGTAATAGTGGATATGTTGAGCAAGTATGCTCACTTCATTTTCCTATGACACCCATACATGACAATTTCAGTGGCAACAACATTTATTCGAGAGTTGGTCCGCCTACATGGAATTCTGGAGTCCATAGTGTCAGATAGATACAAGGTGTTCTTGAGCCACTTCTAGAGAGAGCTATTCAGGATGCAGGGGACCATTTTGAAGAAAAGTACAACATACCATTCATAGATCGACGGGCAAGCCGATGTGGTGAATAGGACTGTGGAAACTTATTTGAGATTTTTTGTATCAGAAACACCCAACACTTGAGTGAAATGGTTACCTTGGGCCAAGTACTAGTACCATACATCCTACCATAGTGCAATATATACTATACCCTTCAAAATCCTTTATGCCAGAGACCTTCCCCACATGGTATACTACAGGACCAAGAGCTCTCTTAGTTTCATCAGTGGAACAACAGTTGGAGGAACATGATAGGATATTGGGAGAGCTAAATGAAAAGTTATCTCCACGATATTATGGTCTTTATGAGGTTGTGGAGAGGATTGGTATCGTGTCGTATTGTTTGCAGCTACCCCCTACTTCCGCCATACACCTGTTATTCTATGTGTCCCAGTTGAGGAAAGTTATTGGCAACCACAATCCATTAGCGATGTTGTGGATGACCTTGATAGAAGAAATGGAGGTGATCCTGGTGCCAATAGAAGTGAGAGGAGTTTGCTCACCAACCGGAGGAGCTAGAGAAGTGCTGATTGAGTGGAAGGATTTGCCCTACTATGAAGCAACATGGGAACCTTATTAGATGATTCAACAACAGTTTCCTTCTTTCCAACTTGAGAACAAAGTGACTCTTTGGGAGGAGAGTATAGATGGACCGGTTGAACCGGTCCAGCCAATCAATGTAGCCACAATAAGGGGGACTGGTATAGCTGGCATGTAGAAGAGCCTTGTGGGCCCCACTGGTGTGGGTGGCTGACAAGGAGAGAGGGGGCTCAAAGGGGATAAATTATACCTTTAATTACTTACTATAGAAAATCAAAATTGGGAGAAAATTAGGAAAGTATATTTAGGGAAAGAGCTGATTTGAATTCAAATTTGTGAGGGATTAGGTAAGTTTATTTAGGGAAAGATGTTTGATTTGAATTCAGATTTATGAGGAAATTATAAAAGTTTATTTAGGATTAATTATGTTTTATTTTTATTATGATATTGTGTGTTTTGGAGTAATTGTCTTTGGAGTTGTTCCTAGCGGCATCTGGGGTTTGTGGAGAGTCGATCTACCTCTCAAATAGTATATCAACTTGCATTTTGATTTGTTGTCCCAATATCAATAAAATTATTCAATAATCTCTTTTTTTTTCTGATTTCTGCTACGTTTTCTCTTCGTTGTTGCTATTTTTGTTTTTTGCTGTGTCTTATTGGCAATTCATTGTAGTCTTCCATGGATTAAGAGTTGGATATGAAGATGATTTATCCCTTAAATAAATTTCGTGTGGGACTCTGTTTTGAATATTCTTTTGGAGAACCTTCGTGTGCTAAAAGAAACAAAAGTGGTTTTTAATTGTGGGGACTCTGTATTCTTCTTTCTTTTAGTGCTTTATTTCTTACATTAGTAAGGATTTTTGATAGGAAAGAAATTGCTTTAAAATTCAAGAAATCCTTTTATTCTCTTGAAATTCTAGTAGCACTAGGGATAATATCAACTCTACTCTTTTAAAATGAAAGGCAATGCTAGTCCAGCCAAAGGGCTTGTGGTAGTTTAGAGCAGATTTTCTTTTTGCTGAAGCTGAAATAAATTTTCCGGTCCTCTGTTATTTTGATGGAATTATTTTGGTAAATAAGAAAATTTTTGTTTCAGAAGGGCCTGACCAATGATTAATCAAAATGGATTTTAAAACTATTGAATTTTCTTTCAGATGAGTACAATGTATGAATAATTAAACTTTATTGCATTAATCCCAAAGTAAATCCAACTAATTTGAAATCTATAATGATCCTTTTTTAAAAATAAAAAACAACTTGACTCAAACGCTCTTGACTGGCTTTTTCTCTCCCGTTTTTTTCAGGATCCTTACTGGGAGAAGCTATTGAGGCATTGTGTAGATAATGGTTCCTATCAGGGCTGCCCTCTTCCTTCCTTAGAGAGGAAAGTTTTTTCCGATCAGTTTTCCCCTCCTATTCTTCCACATGACATTGAAAAGCCAAATTCAGAAGGAGTTGAATGGGGAGAAAACCCATTAAAGAAGTCCAAAGAAGTTGAATGGGGTGACGAAGCCTCAGAACAATATAACAACAAAGATGATGAATATAACGAAGAAGCTTCAAAGCAATACAACAACGATGTTGAATGGGAGGAAACTGTTCAGTACCCCAACGAGGGAGAATTGCTGCAACAGGGCTCCAAATTTAATTCTGATAAATATGACAGTGCTGATAATTCTGCTTGGAATGGTTCTTCCATTGACCGTTACAGATCTACTGAAGCAGAAATGAAGAATGAAACAAACAATTTTGATGGAGCTGGCCTTGAAGACTCCATTCCACAGAAGAAGAAGCATGAATGGAATGGTATGGCCTTCACGCCCACAGGGTGGGGTGATTAGGCTTTGAAATGCTACCAGTTTTAGATTTCCTGGAGTTGCGAGTGAGCCATGATGGGTTGATTTTGTAAGTAGGTCTGCAACCAAACTAGAGCATTCAATGAACATTTTAATATTCATTCAAATATTAAAAATGAGCTTGAATATTAACCTGTTGGTTCATTTATTTTCGTGAGCAGGTTAGGCCAGAAGACCTGATGCAATACAAACATTTTTTTTATTCGGTTGAACCGGTCTGAATGAAGCCTAAGATTGGGCCCAAATAACCTGTAGCTACCATAACTGGTCCACCACCCAACTGGTTGAATAGCCAACTCAGCTGCTCTGCTTAAGAGTAAAGGTAGTCTGTCCAAAACTCAATTAGTGTTATCTGACACCCACATTTAAAGAACTTCCTCTTTTTATAACACAATTCCCTGCTGAGATCCAACATTAGTAGTGTTTTTCTATTCACTGAAGAAGGAAAGAATTTTGAGAGTTCTTTATTACCTCTAAAGATTCAAATACAAAGTTCCAAAAATATGAGTTATGCTGAAGAGGTTTAATGCTTTTCTATTTCTCTTTTCAACAGTTGTGCTAATTTTGTATTGTAAGGTTGTGTTTGGGACAACTTTTTTATTGCTTCTTAAAGCAGCATTTTAAAAAGTTATTTTTGAAAGCAACAAAAAAGTTGTTCCAAACGAAACAAGTTAGTTACTTTAGATGCAAAGTATTTATTTTACAGGAGTCAATTCCACATAATTTTTATTTTTGGTGGTGGGTATGTTTGAAGTTTGATTAATGAAACCTATTAAGTTTTCTTTTGATGCAGAAGTAATAGTCAATGATTTATTATTTTAATTAAGGTTTTTAGATACACATGGATGTTAATTAGGGGAGAATTCTTGCCAAGAGATTATGAGATATTGTCTATTTGTGCAGATTATTATCATTCAAATGTATGGCTGATTAGAAGAAGGCTAAAACAGGGTAGTATACTTAGAACCTAAATCTAAATCTTACATGATTATATTTAAATGGAGCAGCTCGATGAGACATTCAATGGGTCAAAGACCATTTGATTATGACATCAGAAAGACACAAATATTGAATAAACGATCTATGATCAAAATGATCATTTTACACCGTTTGATGGAGTGTTTTGGATTTATTAAAGTATCCCTCTCAAAAATGCTGAGGGAAAGTTTAGGAGTTGAAATTGCTTAAAAATTCTACTATATTTTCTAAATGATCACGGCCGACGGCCACTATTGATGGCCACTATTGACATCCGCGGCCGCCATCATCAAAGTTCTGTCCTCGTCTATTATTGTTGCTTGGCAATTAAGATTTAGTCATACTGTTGGATCTTAACTGCTTGCTTATATACATCTAATTTCTGTAACGTCTACAATGGGATTAGGTAGTTATTCTCAATTGAGAATAACCCTCTATTTTCTTTAATTGCAAGAAAGGGAGGATTATTGTATCTTTTATTATACGGTGGATTATAATAACTGAATCAGGTCCCATAGTTTTTTTCCCATTTTGAATTTTTTCGATTAAAAAATTCATATCTAAAAAATTTATTTGTTCATTCTGATGTTTTGTATAAAGCTAAAACAATAAATATACTCTTACAATTACAATTTTGTTAACACAACAATTTTTAATGAGTAATTCCATTAATTTCAGTCACAACTATTTATCAAATGTCAAACAAGTAGCCATTCTGAAAATATTTGATGGGGTATTCTAAATAATAGATTTTTGTCCAAAAAAAATAAAAATAATAATGTGTTAGTGGCATTAATTTGGTCACACATTAGCGGATGATATAGTCAATCCTTCTCCTGGAAGAAAAGAGTCTAAACAACATAAAATTAACAGGCAATAAATATAGTTTGGACTTGTCTCTATTTTGAAAGAAATGGGACTTGAACTACTGATAATTCATGTGTAGTCAGAGGAAATGAGGGGCATTTATGATTTAGGCTTTATTTGTGACGGCTTTCTTATTGCTTTTTAAAACAGTTTTTTAGTATAAAATTTTTAATTATTGAATTAAAAAATTACTTTAAGAAGAAGCAAGAAAGCCATCCCAAACAAAGCCTTACTCTTTTAAATTTAAAAAAAAAAAAAATTGATGGTGAAGGTGATCAATATAATTTTTTTTCTTCAATGAAAGAGGATTGAATGATTATAAGTTGATAGGTGGCTACAAGTAGCCGGCCCTTTTATTATTAATCATTAGTAAACCAAAATATTCCTTGCTATTATCAACAATGGATGAACCCTACTACCCTTCCCTTGATTAGAAAAGTGATTGAACAATTCTATCTCATCGGGTGTGTCAATCGACTTGATCGAGTTGGGGTTAGGCTGGGCAACTGGCTGGTAGTTGGTTACATGGCGCTAGTACTTGTGAAATACATAATCATTGAACAAAATATATCACATTGTAGATTTTAGGTATTCAAAATTCGATGTTTCTTCTTGCAATGCTACATTATGAAATAATTGCTTGTGGTAAGAGCTTTCTTAAAGGTTTGTTTGTTTGTTAATTAGCCTCCCAACAACCAATGGTGTGGTGGTGTTAGAAGTGTCAACAATCAATTAATTAGGTGATGGGAAGGGAGTATGCGAGGGAAGTTTAATTTCTGAAAATAACATCTTTATAATTGTCTTAATGATACAATCATTTTAAAAATAATTTTGTATTATTTAGAGTTTGTTTAGTACCTAAAATAAAATTTAAATTCAAAATTTATTGTAGGTATATCCTTTTTTGGCTTAATTTAAATGAGAACTTAAGGTCCTATGGTTGGCCATAATTTTTTTTTAATCCATATCAATGTTTTATATATGATTATTGAAACAATTGATCCGATTTATGAAAATCTAAAGGCTTTATTTGAGACAGCTTTCTTACTGCTTTAATTCAAAAAATTTTATACTACCTAACTTTTTTAAAAAGTAAAAAACAAGCTGTCCCAAATAAAGTCTAAAATGTGGACACTGGTGAGGCTAATGTCCTTGGAATTTTAAAAGACGACCTCGCGAAAACTATATGTCCTACAAGACTAATTGGCAACCCCCCTCCAACAATTTGAAGATAGAAAATGGACTTAAATATTCACCTTCCCTCTTGTGGCCCATGCTTCGATGTGCTATCTCAAAAATGCTCGTCCATAAGCATAGGAGAGTTCTTGTAATCTTAGAATAAAAAAGATTGTAACAATTTCTCTATCAACTTTTGCACATTACAATGATTTAATTGCTAAGTGTGTAGGATGCTTAGATATGGACATTGGTTGTTTCAAACATCTCAAAATTTAGAAAAATTATTCTGTGCAGACCCCCGATGGCATCCGAAGACCAACTAGAATGCACCACATCATTTTTATTTTGTTCGATACCTATGTACTGGACGACATGATATGTTCTGATTGATCTCCAAATTATTTCATGTTTGCAAAGAATAATTTCTCCAAAATTTGAGCTCTAGCTCAAGTTCTGGGCAAGTAAAAACTCCAGCCAACTGTAGTTCACAAATTCAGCGTTTTACTCACTCATCTCAGTTACATTCTAAGGGGCATTTGAGATAACTTTATATTTATATATATATATAATAATCACTAAAAAATCACCCTATAAACAGATAAACTCTTCTCCATAAATTTTTTTTTTTTTTTTTAAGTTCATAATGACTTGGTTACATCAAGTTCTTACATTCTTATGCAAATACTATTCACCAACCAAACAAATTTACTACATCAAGTTCAGGTAAAAAACATGTCAATATCAAATTTTCGAGTCAAAAACGGATTTTCGGATCAAAATCGAGTTAATTTCGGATTTTTAGGTTAACCCAAACCCAACCCATTTTTAAAACTGGTCGCTTTGTTGAACCCGAACCATTTCCGGTCCAAGTTTACCCTAACTTCAAATTTTAGCTCAGGTTCGTGTCGGATTTTCGAGTTGCTGTATCAAATATTACCACCCCTAATGTAAACATTGAAAGCAAACCTAAGTAAAAATCAACCTAAAGCACACAATTCAATATTTTTTTCCAGCCAAAAAAGTGTGGAGAAAAAAGTCCAATAAAAACCACTTAATTGAAGACAAAGGATTAGATGTAACACAAAAACACCCACAAAAGATACATAATGAAGCATTATAGTTAAGATAATTATCATAAGGAGGAACTAATCACCACCCAATCATATTTACTACCAAGACAAATAAAAGGAAGAACAACAAACAAAAACAAGGAGCTATTCCTCTCTCTGCTACCTAAGTTTGGCTCCTAGAAAAGATCCAAAAGGTCTTCAAAGCAACTTTCAGTTTCCTCTGCATCAGAAATCATCTCTTGCTGACGGCATTCATGGCTGCAGAATGCTCTCTCACCTCTACAAAAACAAAAAAGCTCATCTTCATTGAGAATCACAAATTATGGAGAACATTAGTTGAGAATCTATGTTAAGTTCTTTGAGTCGGTGAACTCCAAAACTCAAGAAGTTTCTCTTTAATTTAACAAAGAAAGGAATAAGTAAATGAACAGTTAGATGTTTGAACTTCTGATTAAAAAAGGTTTGAGAGCAAAGTGAAGTGTAAAATAATCTGATATGAAAAATGGAATAAGAATATAGCTTGACAAATATCTTTATTTCCCAACATGGTAGTTTTTCCATTTTTTGATCTTGCAAAGCATGATTATCTACAATTTCCATGATTGTTATTTCATAAAATAGGAAAGTACATCTTATAACTCATGAAAAAGTAGAGAAATTCAAGAGAGTGTGTCATGTATCTTGAAGTAATTTAGGCTTTCGTTTGAGATGTCTTTCTTACTGCTTCTTAGAGTAACTTTCTATTTCATAAATTTTAATTTTTTACTAGAAAGCCGATTTAAGAAGCAATTAAAAAGTCATCCCAAATGAAATCTTAAGCTGTCAATATATGTTGAACCAAGTCTTTTTTTTGTTTTCTATATGATGTCTGCAAACATGTGAAATCCCGATGAACATAGAGGAAGATTACGTAAATCATTGATAAGAAACGAAGCATAAGCTCAGATTATAACCACATGAACTGGAATAAAGCATTTTCTAAGCCACAATTACTTTCTAACTCATGAAAAGAAAGATACTATAACTTATGGATACTAAACAACCATGAACAAGAACAGCATTTAATAACATGAAAAAAGAAAAAAAAATTAACATATACCTGTACATGAAAATGTCCTTTCCCTGTGCAAGGCTTTTCCTGCAAGCATGGCAGAATCTTAAGAAATCTTCTGAAGAATACCCTGAGCTCTGTTCAGTTGAGAACCCATTTTCCTTCTTCGAAGCCGCGAATCCGTGGCCACAGCTCTCCAAAATACAATTGTCAAAGATATGAGTTTTCTTCGGATTCGGCCCGTAAGAGATCACACAGGTGTAGTCCTCTGAAAGCTCCAGCTCCCTTGGAGAAAGGGGCCCTGTGAAGAGTCTCGGTGAAGGAGGTCTCACTTCACCGACCAAACTCACAGGAGAATGCAGAGCTAGCTGAGAATTTTTGTTCTTGATACCAAATTCAATTGGAGTATGCGGAGACTCAACAGAGCCAGTTGGTGAAATGGAGTTGGATTGTACCGGCGGGATCTGAATCTTTAGTTCTGATCCAAATAGCACCATCCTACTACTTTGACTGACGGTCTTCTTCTCAGACTTTTCCTTAGTGAGAGCATCCACTATGCCTAGGCCTATTGCTCTTGAGTCTCCACTGCCCCAATAAGATTTTCTGCTATGGCTGCCAACGACAGAGAAGGGCTTGGTCTCAAGAATGGAAGTTGGACTCATGGAAGCCTCAGTGTCTAAGAAGCTCTTTGAAGAGAGGCCCATAAAAAGCTTTGGAGAAGCAAAGAGAGAGGAAAAAGGGTTTGTGTGCTTCCCAGAGGGAGATGGAAGGATGGAAGAGTTATCAGACATTCAGAAGTGATTATTTTTCCAACGGCTACTAAGCTTCTTCAGTATATGAATTGCAGAAAAATGTGTAGTTCATCAGAGTAAAAGAGGTCAAGATGGAACTGAGGGAGTAAAGGTGCGATTTTCTTCCTATCCTCTTTTGATTTTCCTTACAAAATTTTACAAAGGTCACAAGAAATTGAAGGACTATATATCCTACGAAACTATGAAATGGATATGATTTATGAACTCGCTCGTACTGTTTTATGGATTCTCCACGGAGATCATTTGGAGTGGCAGGTAGAGGATCGTAGATTAGCTGAAAAGCTCCAGGGTATCTCTTTTATCTCTTTTTGGTAAACATGATGACAGCCCAAAGGAGAAAATCCCATGAAAACCTCTCAAAAATTCAGAAAACGAGAACCCAAAGTGTAAAACATCATTAAACTGAAACTAACACACAAAACAAGTAATCCTCTTTGACACGAGTTATTGAAAGAGTGAAGAATGACGATTATTAATATAAAAAAGGCTTCATTTTTCTGTCACTCCGCTCGTTCAGAACTTCAACCACTACTCACAAAAAAAGGCCCCCCCCCCAAAAAAAAAAAGAGCTTGAAACAAGAAGAAGATGAGACAATCTCGACTAATAAAAATCTCTCCTTTCCTCTTTCCTCCTTCTCCGAATAAGAAAAAGGAAATATCTTTCCGCTCTCTCAATCTCTCAACTGCTCAAAAGAGTCCGGAGAAGCTGTGGCTGCCACGAAGAAGATGAGATTTTAAAGAGAGAGAGAGAGAGAGCGATAGATAGATAGAAAGAGTGAGAGCTTTGTATTTGTTCGTTTCCCCGAAAACCGCCATTCCCTCTGATAAGAAAGCAGTTTAAAAAGAGCGGTTTTTAACACAAAATCATTTCTAAAAAGAATTATTATTTTTTTCATTATTTTCTATATTTTTATATCTGCTTTATTCCTTCGAGCTCAGCAAAGCACATAGGATCAAAACAAGCTTTTTATTAAGTTGAATATAAATTATAATTAATTTGAATTGTTATTTCTTTTTCAAAGTTTTTTTTAATTAATTTGAATTGTTATTTCTTTTTCAAAGTTTTTTTTAATTAATTTGAATTGTTATTTCTTTTTCAAAGTTTTTTTTTTTAAATCTTGGGCCTATATAAACGGCCCAGATTTTGGGCGGTTGAGCTTACCGGGGTGAATAGACTCAATTTTAACCAGGGTGAGATGGCGACACGCCGCGGTTAATTTATGAACAGTACGGCCTTTTGTCCTTTTCATCGCTGCCGGTTAATTGGGTTCGTACGAATTCGACCACGGCGATTCGGTCCGGCTTGGCGCGGTTCGGCTCGGACCGTGACAAAGCCTCATCATAACCCTTTGAGATGTTCTGCCATGAATCACCGCACGGCTCGCATGCTGAAGCAAGCATTAACTGTAATATGTTAAAAGCCATAATTATCACTAATGTAGTCTTTTTTAATACATTTTAATAAAATAATATATAATATCATTAAAGATATAAATATTTAATTTTTGATGATTTAAATTTGTATCCATATAAAGAAATATCTTTACTTACACTCATTTTATTTTTTAAGCTATATTTATATTTTTATTGATAAGTTGAAAAAAATAATTTTATGTTTAATAATTTCTTTTTTTTTTACTAAAATCAAAACATTTACTATAGAATTATACAGTTTTAATTGTAATCAAATTATTTATTTTAAAATAAGTTTTTATATTGAA